GCCATCTTGGCCACTTCTAATCTGAAGTAATTTGATATAAATTATCTTTGGCCATCTAATATGTCAAAGAACATTGCATTCCTTACCGGTGATACATTAAAAATACTGTGTCATTTAAAATATCCTTTAATATCTGTTAAACTTGATTCAAAATAAGATCTTCAAACTATAAAAATTATCTTTAAGACTGTTTCAAGTTAAGGTAGGTCTTATATTTTATATAAGATATTTCATAGGGAAAATGTTGGAATTTGGGCTCCACATCTTTGTATTCAAATATAGGCTATGTCACTACTATGCCAAATTTGACTTTGGCAATTTACTTAATTCTTCATTGAACACATTTTTATTTACTTATTTTTATTGAGAGATAGATGATTTACAGTGTTGTGTTAGTTTCTGGTGTACAGCAAAGTGACTCAGTTTATATATATATATTTCTTTTTTATATTATTTTTCATTATGGTTTATTACAGGATATTGAATAGAGTTCCCTGTGCTATACAGTAGGACCTTGTTGTTTATTTTATATACACTAGTTTGTATCTGCTAATCCCAAACCTGATTTATTCCTTCCCCACCCGCTTTTCCCCTTTGATAACCATAAGTTTGTTTTCTATGTTTGTGAATCTGTTTCATAAGTAAGTTCATTTGTGTCATATTTTAGATGCCACATATAAGTGATATATGGTATTTAACTTGTCTGACTTACTTCACTTAGTGTAATCATCTCTAGGTCCATCCATGTTGTTTCAAATGGCATTATTTCATTCTTTTTTATGGCTGAGAAATATTCCATTGTATATATGTACCACATCTTCTTTATTCATCTGTTGATGGACACTTAGGTTGCTTCCATGTCTTGGCTATTGTAAACAGTGCTGCATTGGAACATTGGAGTCCATCTATCTTTTCAAATTAGAGTTTTCTCCAAACATATGTCCAGGAGTAGGACTACTGGATCATATGGTAACTCTATTTTTAGCTTTTTTAAGGAGTCTCCACACTGGTTTTCATAGTGGCTGCACCAATTTACATTCCCACCAACAGTGTAGGATTCCCTTTTCTAAACACTCTCTCCAGCACTTGTTATTTGTAGACATTTTAATGATGGCCATTCTGACCGGTGTGAGGTGGTACCTCACTGTAGTTTTGATTTGCATTTCTCTAATAATTAGCAATGTTGAGCATCTTTTCATACGTCAGTTGGCCATCTTCTTCATAGAAATGTCTATTTAGTTCTTCTGCCCATTTTTGATTGGACTGTTTGTATATTTTGGAAATAACCCCTTGTCAGTCACATCATTTGCAAATATTTTCCCCCAGTCTGTAGGTTGTCTTTTCAATTTGCTTATGGTTTCCTTTGCTGTGCAAAACCTTTTAAGTTTAATTAGGTCCCACTTCTTTTTCTTTTGCTTTTATTGATATTTCAATTGCCTTGGGAGACTGACCTAAGTAAACATTGGTAAGATTTATGTCAGAGAATGTTTTCTATGTTCTCTTTTAGGAGTTTTATGGTGTCATGTCTCATATTTGTCTTTAACCCATTTTGAGTTTGTGTATGGTGTAAGGGAGTATTCTAACTTCATTGATTTACATGAGGCTGGCCAGTTTTCCCAATACCACTTGCTGAAGAGACTGTCTTTTAAGAACACATTTTTAAACTGCAACTTGATTGACCTTACAAGTTTTAGGTGATGACTTAGCTGTAGTTGTTTTAAAGTATCCTGTAATGCCCAACATATTCATTTAACATTTTGGTATGTATTGGAAGTCCTTTTACCCTTCACCTATGTACTCATTTCGTTAACTAATGCTCTCCATTTTTTCTGTGAAACAAAGTGACAATCACAACTCACGGGGCACTTAGTATTACTAGGCTATATTTTAATATCTACTATCCTTACATATCTGCTTCCACCAAGTACCAAGTTATGTTTATTTCCAAACGTATTTGTGCCAGTTATACTTATGAATATAGTACCTAATTAAGTATTACATAAAGTGTTAAAATATGACGGTAAAGAAGAAAAGTTTTTGCATTGAGACAAATGGTTTGGAAAAGCTACCTGAAAATATACATTCTAGCATTACGTGTGAACACAACTGTAAATGTCAGAAAGGCTCCTTAAAAAATTATGAATTATTCTTCACTTACATTTTACTTCTATTAATGAACTAAATAGAAAAAGGTTCTTATCTACCTCATCAAACAGTGGTCCAATAGATAAATATTTAAGTTTAAAGTATGTTCATATCAATTTTATAATCCCTTTTGGTTAATTGCCTATGTAAATACAGTTGATCACTCCTTGAAACCCTTCTGCACTTGGCTTTCCAGACATGACCCTCTCCTGTTTCTTGCTGTACCTCATTGGCTCCTCCACACAAAATCTCAGGGCTTGTACTATCAACCCTTTGTTGGAGCCTGTCTCCAGCTCTCTCTGATTCTCCCTCAAAGCCCAGACTTGTTATAACAAATTCTGATCTGACACCTTTATTTGCATATATAATATACATCTTAAATTTAAAATGATCTCTTCTCCTTGCTTAACTCGCTTCAGGCACCCTGCTCTTTTTGCACTTCCTTATTTTTTTTTCATTTCACCAACTTTGTGGCAGCAATAGGACATAAATTCACCAGTGACAGTAAATATTATTGTGTAACAAACAGTTTTTATAGTCTCAGAATATTATGCTATGCCTAACTGAAAACTAACTGGTTTATATTGTTTGCAATTTCTTACCATTTTAAATAAGATGTATATCGAGTACATACAGATTAACTTTGACCTTATTCCTGCCTACCCAGCGAAAAGGGATGTAAATGAGCCTTCTTTATTAAGAGATACAATTTGAGGAGTAGTAATGGTTAAATATAAAGCCAATTGTGATATAGTCAAGATTATGATGAATGAACAGTGGACGTACAAAGTGACATGGTGGCTCGGAAGGAAATTCCACTTTTTGAAGAGAATGGGATAGAGGTCTTTTAAAAGGAGGGAGCTTTTAGGGGAGTCATGACAGATGAGTGATATTTGAAAAGGAAGAAACACGTAGGTTGAGCATTACAGGTATGGGAATGAGAGCCAACTAGAAATGCAGACTGAGTAATAGTAACACTCTTTTAATTTGAGATTTATTCCAGAAATGAAGAAAAGGTACCTGGGCATAAGCAGCTCATGAGATGCACTTCTCAGGCAATATGCCATGATTTAATTGACTTTGGAAGGTGGTCCACTGAGGTACGTTGGTAAAACCTCCCAAACATAATTTCAAAATTAAAAAAAAATGACTGTCATACAATATTAAGATATGCATATATTGCAAATTTAATTAAATCTTTACTGAAAGAACCAGCAGAATAATAATGTTGGTTACTCACGAAGTCTTATTCTTATTTCTGCATTCTTCTGAGTGTTCTGAGCCAGGTTTTCAAAGCCTCATAGCTTTAGAAAATGAAAGAGAACAGTAGTAAGTTTGGTTGCTTTAGATAAGAATTATAAATACAATGTAACAAATGATCTGAAGGTAATGTGCACTGCAAATATTAGATAATCCAAATTTTCTTTTACAAATATTTCTGTGT